CTCTTTTTTCCACTTAGGGTGGGGGTAAGAGGATTATTGCCTTTCGTTTGGTTTTGGTTTACTGGGGGTTTTTTTAAAGATGAAATAGTATCCGTGTTGTAGAAGAGTCCCAGAAAGACCTTAATACTTTATAAAGTGCTTTAGAAGCATTAGAATATTACATAGGTAACCTTACCAACAATTTAGAAACAACTTCAAAAATTAATTGTAAGAGGTATTTAATAAAGCTTGTGAACCACAGCAAATTAATTACTAATAATAATTTAAAAGAAAAAAATGGAACCAAACCATAGAAGAGGAAGAGTTACAAGTCAGTTGCCATCTAGTCATCTCCTCGTTGTTTGCTGTCTTAACTCTTTCTGGGTTTTTTCTTCCATTGGTTATCTAACATCAGTAGAACACTGTTTTGTCCCTATAGGCATCATGACTTTGGCAGCAAGCAGATTTCTCTATATGTATTATCACTTAAGAAAACAGATATACAGCATAATGCAATTTACAGGTTCATTGCTGTGCATTCAGTGTTGTATATTTTCATGCAAGCACACTGAGAAGCTTACAGGCAATTGAAACAGAAAGCATGCTAGTAAGAAAGCACTAAGCCTGTGTGGAAAAAATGACAGGAAGATGCAAATAGAAACTGCACAGGAAAAAATAATTTACATCAGTGCTTTTATAATAAATGTGCAAACTGCAAATAGAGTGGGCTTGCCTGCATTGACTCAGACATCTATGTTAGATAGGACCTTCAAAATAGCATCCTTTTTGTCCATAATGATTGCTCTTCAGTCAGTCACTCTGACCACCAGCTGGATAAAGATAAGCCAATTAAACACTGTTTGGATCATGTCTAGTATATAAAAATAGCCAGATTTCACTGGTCAGGTTAGAAGTATTTCTGGGCCATTCTCCTGTTTCTGGCAATAGCCAGGACCACGTGCCTGTGGAACAGGTACTCCTCAGTCACCCTCTCTGCTCCAAGCAGCCTGTGGCCATTCAATCAGTTAACAAGTTCATTAAATGTGTTTAATGGGCTTTTCCTCCATGAAAGCGTCTAATTGCTTTTTGAACTCATACTTACTTAGCCTCCACAGTTCCACAGTATAATTACACAAAATCCTTTACCAAAAAAAACTGAAAATCTCAAATTCCATTGCAGGAACATTTCAAAGAATTCCAGAAAGCCTGCTTTGAGGTTAAAGGAAAATAAGATGTTTCAGTTTGGTGACCTGCGATTTCTATGGCCACAGGTAAGATTGTTGCCTGTCACTATAGCAAAGGGAGCAGATAAAAATTCTAAATGGTCCTGTCTTCCTACATCCTTAAAGTCCAGGCATCTTATTCCTGTGGATTGCAGAGACTGATGGTGCTAATACATAATATTGAGAGGGACTTAGAGAGAACTTTGCTGTGGGGACAAAGTGGGTGTCAGAGCATAGCCCCTTCAAGCTTCTCCATAAAAGAGCTGTTGATTCCTCTGCCTTGGTATTGTCCTCTTTTGTGTGTGGTTTTTATGTTTCAAAGGCTTAATTAAATGATTCCCTATATTTTATGCCGTCGTGCATAAAACCTTAATAGCCTTTATTTCATAACCTGTGTTACTTCATAACCTGGCCTCAAGTCACTTCGATTACATATGAAGGTCTAAATGCAGGTGCCATCTGGTACAGTGCTGAGAGGCTCCAGGTGACCTGTGAGTTGGGGTTTTTTATCCCCATTAAGTTCAGAGGAAACTAAGCACATAGTATGTATTTGATACAGGCAATGGGTTTCTGTGTACCATTGTGGACGCTGGATTTACGTCTTTGGAATTAAACTGTGGGTTCCACTCCGATGCATAAATTATCTGCTTCTTTCCAGGCCTCCTACTTGTTTTATGGCAGAATTTTGTCTTTTTTCCATCCTTTCTTGAAGTGCCTCACATTCTCAAAGTCCCCTCAGTCTCTCTGATGTGTGTTCCTCATAGCTGCTTTCCCTCCCCATTATATCGCATTGCTTCCAGACCTACAATGCAAGTTCTTCACTACTTCTGCATTCTCCCTCATTCTAATTGCTGGACTTTGAGTGCAGACTATACACATGAAGGAATATAATCCCTAACTAACCTGGATGTGCGGCTACAATAAGTCTAAGAAAATTGTACTTTAACCTGAGAAGCATTTTTTCCTCAGAGTGAAAGGGAGGATATTAAACTGCTAAAAAGAACAGCGTTGCCAGCATAGCCTTTCTGATCTGGGTGTACTTCCTCACTATAATCCCCCAGTAAAGCTATCCTAACAGGAACATAGCCTACAAGAACTCCTTTAAAAGCATCTTCTTCTCCTACTGGCACATAATGCTAGCTTCCATGTTTCCATTTTATTCTATACTATTGCACTGCCCCTTCAAGTCTCCTGGGTATTCTCTTCTATCTTTATATATCTTATATCTTTAATCAGGACCTTTGCTGGTAAGCAGTTGTGCCTGTTCATGTGCTTGTTTTTCAAATGCTATAAAACTTAAGGCTTTTCAGATTCCTCACATAGAAACTTTACAACAGCTTGATGGTTATCTTGAAGAGTGACTTAAAATGTGCATTTCCCTGGCATTTTAACCTTGTCTTCCATAAGGACAAACACAAGAGAGTTAGGAGATTCTTCCATGCCATATGAGAGACATACATATGCTTTCAAGGGCTGAGATGGCTCACATTTGTGCCGTTGTTTTCTTCAGACGCACATCTGAAAATGAAAATGTACCAAAAAAACCAAATATAGGCCCCTATATTTACAAAAAAAAACAATTGTCTGTGATTTCTGAAACCTAGGGTTGAAACCTGTGGGTTTGGGGTTGGGCTTTAACCTTTGAATGCTGCCTTTATTTCTGGAAACAGTGGGAGTCTGAGTAACATTGAGTTTGAAAACATTGCCCCTTTTTTTTGTGGAACAAGAAATGTGGGAGATGTACACTGGGAAAATTCTGGGTCTGCATTTCCAGTTAGTAGCTACTGAAAACTTAGATTTGATGAACAAATGTAAGAGACGGAGGACTGCTTCTTTTAAGCTATGTGTCTTTTGCTTGCTGCTCTTGGTTACTACAAATACAGCATTCTTTGCCTGCAAGTGATATTTTACAGTATTTAAAATACCATTTCGCATGTTTCAGATTTAGCCTGGGTTTATTCAGTACTTCACACAGGTAATCCCTGCTGCTTCTGAAGGCCTTGATCCTATAACTGACAACGCGCTAGCAGACCGCTATTGTTGCTCTGGGGAGACTGTTGTAAGAGAGGCAAGGGAAGCCTAGAGATTATAAAAATCACCTTTAAGTGATAGCTACGTATATATCGCTATTGAATTCCTCTAGGCATTCAGGTGTGCTTTTTTTCCCCTCTTCTCTCCCTCTTCAGCAGCATTGCTCTGACTGGCTGCAGACACTGATTTATGCCGTATAGTTATAAATATATGTGCTGAAAGCCTGTTCCACTCAGAGCCCAACTTGTTCCAGTCCACTCACCTTTTGCAGTGAAGGCTTTTATCTATTTCTGAGAAATATATTGCACTTCTGATCTTACAGGATTAGTGTGTCCCAGGGCTTTATCTGCCTATAGAATTAAACAGAGTCCAAAATACTGGATGACCATGTGAACCTGTATGCTGTTACACAAAGCCTGTCTTAAACCTTCTGCTGCAGGGGCAGCTCGCCCAAGGTTCAGTTATTGGGTGCACCCAATGGGTGCACCTCCACTCATCCCTCGTGCCACCTGAAAACCCAGGTTTCATGGCACGGCCAACCATAACGTTCAGTTTCTTTGCAGTATTCAGATTAAACTTGTCTCCTGCGGCTGTTGATGCTGCTCTTCATACTGAGCCAGCCTGAGTCTTGGCCCAGAGGGAAATTCAACTGATGCAGCTGTCCAGAACTCCAGGAGCAGCCCGGCTGTGCTCTTCTCTGCCAGCTGAAATAGAAATGCTGCTCGGGTAGTGCTCACCTTTCCTTTTGTGAGACGCCACCAGAGTGGGGAGACAACACGTTTATTGTAGGCTTAAGTATAACAACCATATTTTCGCATTCTACCAGTTCAGTCTTCAACCCCACTCCATAGCATAGGCTGTAAGGCTTAAATACTGTACAACTATAATCTGCTCTGTACCACTACACAGCCCAGACGTTATGACATTGCTCTGCAAGTTTCCTTGTGGATAAATAAGAGACAATTTGAATCAGTGGAAAAAGCAGTCCTGCACCCCCTCTACTGCTGGCCATCTTCTCCCATACCCACTCAATCTGTGCTCTTGTACAACGCAATGTTCTGTGAGACCAGGCGATGCAAAATTTAAATCATCACTGAAGCTCATTGTATTCATTAGCATTCAGTTTGATTGCAAGCTTCTGCCTTGGATCTGTTCTTACAGTTGTTCCCAAGTGCAACCACAAACGCTCATGCTGGCCTAAGGGAAGGGACAGCATGGGACTGAATGAGCAGTGGCAATGGGAAGACAGGTCTTAGGACAACGTTGGGTTACACAAGACTCAGATGCTCAGATGAAGAACTGCTGCCTAAGGTCAATGGCAACAGTTTTGTGCCCAGTGTATAGCTGCTTTCAGGTTTTCCCAGGTTATCCAAGTCAAATCATGTTGCAGTTTTGGCCTATAAGGTAAGATTTGGACTATACATATATGGTACATACAGAAGTAATAAAAGTGGGAATTCAGCTGCTAGAAGGCAGCTGCACAAAAGGTATCCAAATATTTAAATGGGGCTGAAGGTTTAGTTGAAACCTTGTGAATTATTAAAGCAAAGGTTTGGAAACTACTCTCAGAGTCCCTGCATGTTGCTTATTCAATATTCATCCAGTTTACACAGCTTTAGCACCACAGATGCCAGTGCGAGATGAGAATCAGCATTAATCGGTCCTCACGCCCTGCTGAGGCTTTGCAAACTGACTGTGCACAAAGACTGTAATCAGCTGATAAAACCATGGTGCACTAAAACTGGGCACCAGTAATCTCTCTAGGGTGCTATATTTACTTAGTCTCTATTAGTAGTGATCTGTAAGAGGTTTAAAGTAGCTCTCAAAAGCAGAGTTGGTGTTTAAATGATTGCTGTTGAGAAGCAAGAATCAACATTTGGATGAATAAATACTGAAAAAGGTTACCTGGTATGTTCGATGCTATGGGTGCTGCTGGATCAGCGGATGACATTAATGCTATGGAAATTCACCACTGGTACACTAAATTTATGAGGGAATGCCCATCCGGACAGCTGTGTCTGCATGAATTTAAACATGTCCTGGATCTACATGGACTTACTCCAGAAGCTAACAGCTATGTCGAACAAGTATTTCACACATTTGACATGAATAAGGTAAGAATTCATTCTTAACTTCCTGGCTTTCTATCTGATGCATTCAGCGGCATGACTCAGAGGGCTGGCAATGCTGACTGTTTTGAGGTAAGAGAAGTGATTCAGAGGTGATTCAACAGAAAACTGGAGGCAAATAAGCGCAAGTGGCAGACAAACACTTTTGAATGCTTTGCTCCCAGTACACTTTGCCATTTTGAAACTTGCATGCAGTCATTCCAGGACATTTTGATTGGTTCCTCATCTTTCAAGCCTGGATTTTTGTTATTGTTTTCAGTGTGTGTTAATAATTGCAAGTTTTAACTTTGCTTTAAAGCAGCATTTGGCTGTATCCATAGGTATTAATGCTTTAACAAAATGCAACACAGACACACTATGATTCCTTCTGTTGCCTTTTGTCTCTCAATTCATTCTGAGCACCTTCTGTGGCTTAGTTTGGTATCACTCAATCCCCCTTTTCCAAAGACTTATCTGTCTGGTTTTGATCCATCATCCTGATTGTACTGCTTAACATGCTAGGCCATCCCAAAAGCAGTTGTCAGTGGCATTGCTGTCTTATGTTCTTCAACCTCAGTGTTCATAGAGGTCTCCTCTAGCCATGAGACTTATCCAGAAGACTGTGCCTTGTTATTTTTCCCTTAAGCTAAAATGGGACTTTCTGAGAGTCATCTGTAATTCCTATGGAAGTGTTTGTCCTTGACTGATATTTCAATACTACAAAATCAAAGTCTGCTTCTAGATAATAGAGTAGGTGGTCTCCTCATGGTATAAAAACTTACTAAGAAAAAGACAAAAAAAGAAAGCAGCATTAGTGTTCTCTACCTACAACCCTGATCTCAGTAAATTCAGAGCTGAAATGGAAAAGGTGTTATTACATTACATGAACGACTTTAGTGGCAGGTTAAAACTGGTCGTAATTGTAGCCAGGACTACTCCAGGCAGTTTCAATTTCCAGAAATGGCCTTTCTGTTCTTTGTTATGAAAGGAATTATATACGTTCCAGAAATTGTATGGTGCCCAAAAGACTAAGAATTCCCGGAGTCAGTACCTTTGTTACACAGTTCTCTTGTTATGCCTACTTCCACACGCACGCTCCCACCCCCAGTTCATCTTGGCTTTTTGGTATTATTTAATTCTTTATATACTTATATATATCTTTATATCTTTTATATTACATAATTCTTTTTTTACATGAACTTCAAGTCCTGTTCTTCTAAAACCAGGCTCTTTGCATGCTCTTTTCCACCCCCTGCCAATTACCAGGCGGTTAAATATACTGGAATTCAATTAAGTAGTATCACCTAACTCAGTAAATGTGCTAATTACAGATGATGAGCAAATTTCTAGTCCATAAACATGGAAATGGACCAACAGGAATGGTTAACTTAACGTGTCCTTTTCAATTAATAAATTGATGTATTGTGTTCCCCAATAAAGCTTTATCAATGCCAACTTGCTTGCGTGACGCACATGGACAGGGTCTGAGCCTATCTAAGAGCTTTTTCAGGGTAGCTTTAATGTGCTCTTGGAAAACATTTGGAAATAGATCCAAAATTTATTTTAGACAAATACTGTCAAGTATTGAACCTGCAGCTGATTTCAGTTATTTTCCAGAAAACTGGAATGTGAAAGAATTGCTTTTGGAAAATCAGGCTTCTGTCAAGATGACAGCACACCAGTAACCACAGGCATAAGGAAACTGAGTGTTTGCCATGAGACACATGAGGGTGTGGAAAGAGGAGATAAAAGTATCCTTCAGATAGCTTTATGACAACAGAAATGCCTAGGAGAACTTGCCACTACTGCTGCTATTGGTCTGTGTATTTGAAAATATCTATTGTATGCAGTAAATGGTTCATCCAGTACAAGCAAAGAGTGCAGAATAACTTGGGCACAAACAGGGCACAGCTGCTCTTTACCATCTTACCCCATTCAGCTTTCTCTACTATTTGCAGTCTTTGTAATACTACATGAAATCAAAACTCTTAACAGTTTACTTCACTTGTTTAAATTACTTGGAGCACTGAGAATGTGCATATAGATGCTGACATTTGCTTTTTATACAATTCAAGCATTACAATCCAACCTGTTACAGTTGTGAGAAGAGCTTTGCTATGTCTAAGTTATTTAAGAGTACCTTTCTGTAAGGAAAAAGAAAGAGGTAGTAAATGTAGCTAGTCATTCTGTATGAAGACAAGCTTTAGGTAAACCTGGAACCTGTCTAAGCAGGGAAAGAACTCCAAGCCAAAAAGGTGGGGAGCTTTTGAGGGGGTTTGAGTGTTGTTTAGGGGTTTTGGGGGTTAGCTTTGGGTTTCTTTTTTTGGGTGGCAGAGGAAGAGCAGGGGGAGCAGGATGAGTTTTTGTCGGTTGGTTTTTTTACAGGTTACCAATTGCAGGGCCTCCCTCCCACTGCAAATAGCTTAGCACCCAGGGAGTAGCTTGCTCAATTACCTGATGAATATTAAGACGTATGCCTAAAGCTTGCCAGGTTATACATGCATCAGAGTTTGACTGTTACATAGTCCTGTGCACCCATCTCTGACCCCTTTCTCCTGTTTCCCCATAACTTTTTAATCAGTTGGCATATGTGAATGAAATTGGAAAGAGTAGGCGTTCCAGCCTACTCCAGCCTACAGTTTTCATACAAAATTGGCAGCTGGGTAGCAGGGACGCACCCAGAATGAATGACCTACTCATACAGAATTCAGCTTTCATCCATTAAGGCAACAGCTAGCTGGCAAAAGAATCAGGCACTTGTTTCCTTTCCTCCTGGTGAGGATACAGGGTGGAGCTGGGCTGCCAGGCTGCGGTGATTTAGAGAACGAAAGACAGAGTCTATATAAATGTAGGCTTTTATTTTGCTATTCCCTGAAGAGCTCGTTTAATTAATGTTCCATGTTAGACAGAAATAGATGTTTTATCTGTTTGGAACTCTACCCCCAACACACCTCCCCACACCCCCATTTTAATGACATTAAACGACAATTTGGCCTTCTGGGCTTCATAAAATCCACTATCAAACTGCTTAGGCTAGGCTTATAACCTCCTTATTTAATAATGAGCTCCCACTAAAGATTTGGTATTAATTTCCAATTCTGCAAGATGTTGCAACAGCCCTTCGTTAGCTACTGCAATCTGAGGCATGGATTTTATTGCGTACTTTCTCAATTGAGCTCTTGCAGCAATAGCACAGGAAAAGATATTTAGAAGGCAGAACTGGAATGGCACATTTAGAACAGTTATATACATGAGACTGTATAGTCTGCGTCCTTTTGCAGCTGGAAATAATATGAAGAATGTGGCATCTACTCCCAGATAAAAGCCTGGCAAGTTTTTGTCCTTGTCCAGTCTATCTGTATCATTTAGTGGCTAGAAATGCTTAAACACTTAAGAGAAATAAATCAAGTGAACCAGAATGTTTTACCTGACTATTTTACCTTTTCCTTCTTAATAATATCCCTCCCCCCCAGTCTAGTTTTGATGAACTAGCAACAGTATAATTTTTAATGGAATGACAACATGATAACTACAAGATTAAGATGATGCAACATATAGCTTCTAGAAAGGCTTGAGCTCAGTTTTATTGTCCTCTTACCTTGTTGAAAGTCTTGAGAGCCTCACTGAAAAGCCTGTGGCAACCAAGGCCCTTGACCTCTCAAGCCACATGTCAGGATCTCATAAGCTTCCCCAGTGAGAAATCACAGCACGTCTGTTTAGGTTGAGATGATGTGTATGGTTATGTGCTGTAATGTATGTTTCCTGTGAAGTCAGTCTATAGGGCTTCAGGCTGGATTAGGAAACAGATCTATATAAGAAGAAGAATGAGCAGTTGGCATACCAGCTTGTCAAGAGTAACACATTTGGGACTTTTATGTCTTAGCCCTGGCTTTCTTGGTACCAGTATCTTCATAATGTTCTTGATCACTGACTACCTCGACACCTCTAACAGGAGCATGACTTATGTGTAGCACAATCAAAAAAGCATTTGTCTTCTGGATCCTGGTCTTAACACGGAAATCCAGCTCTGACTCCTTTCCATGCCTAGCAGACCTAGAGGATCTTTTTCAAGATGACTCAGCTCTCTGCAAGTTAGATGAATCAAGTCTTTCTTCCCTCCCTTACACTTCAGTGGAGTAACAACCTACCTAATTTGGTTGGCAGAAACTACTTAACTCTTTCTTAATAGAATAAGCAGGGGTTTTATGGGTTTGTGAAAGAAACTACACGAAGTTCTGAAGGGGCATAACATTCAGAGATGCATCCAGTCTTTATGGTTCAGTCTTGCCCATTGCAATATATAATTGTATTTCAAAGTTGAAAATCTCAGGTTGGGATTATGGTTTTTTTTTCTGACATTTATATGTTATTTTTCTTCTGTTAAGAGGATCAAACTTCGCCTGCTGCCATGATGGTAAAATCACTGCCAGATCTTTCACATTACTAGAAAAGAATTTGGGATCTAATCTCTTGCTGCATGTATTTGGCTTTTAGGAAGTGAGATTCCAAGCAAACACCAGACTTTGGTGTGATGCAAGCTTCTCCCTGCACCTGAAACTGCTGAAGGTGCCTCTATCAGTCTCCAGTTTCTATGGCATTGAATGTGCCGCGCTTTAAAGTGCTCAATTTCCTATCACTTTATTAGCTGAAAACCCATCACTGAGACTGTGTGAACAGAAAGTGTTAAGTAGATTATGCAAATGACGCAACATGATTACTTTTAGTGGCTCCCCATGCTCTTACTGTTTCAGCATCATATACATAAGGACATGTTCCTAGTTCTTTTTACCTTAAGATGATTTGAAAAGTTTTTAGCACGTGCTGGATTTAGATGGGATGTTAAGTCAAATTCAAGGCATGTACTTTGAATTGAGAGTCATGAAGAGTCTGCCTTCACTTCTGAAATCTCAGTAGCCCCGATTTATATTCTTTCTTCAGTTTCTGGTGGGTGAATTTCACCAGGTTTTGTATTTATATATCCTGATGTTTCCTGTGAGATTACCAGA